CGCAGGTTATACACATGGATTTCACCTGATGGTATGCATAGGAATCAGATCGATTACATCTGCGGAAAAAACCGCTGGGGAAGCTCAATATCGGCTGTGAAAACTAGGCCAGGCAGGAACTGATTGTGGAACAGACTACCAACTACTCATTTGCAATTTCAAGCTGAAGCTGAGGAAAGCTAACCGAATCCACAGGAGCCAAAATATGACTTTGAGTTCATCCCACCTGAATTTCAAAATCATCTCAGGAAGAAGTTTGAGGTCTTGAACACTAATGAGCAAAGACCAGATGAGTTGTGGGAGGATGTCAAATGTATCATCCAGGAAGAGTGCAGACGGTCATTACAAAGACAGAAGAGGAAGAAAAGATCAAAATGGAGGTCAGAAGAAACTCTGAAGATTGCACTGGAGCATAGAGAAGCCAAAGAAAATATTACAATGAAATGGAGCTACAGTCGGAAAATCAAAAGGGCCGAACTCGCTCAGCATTTCTTAAGCTCAAGGAACTGAAGAACAAATTCCAACCTTGAGTTGCTATAATCAAGGATGCTTTAGGCACAATATGAAATGATCCAGGAAGTATTAAAAGAAGATGGAAAGAATATACTGAGTCACTGTATCGAAAAGAATTGGCAGATACAAAAGAATATAATGAAATAACATTTGAGCCTATGGTGATGAAGGAAGAAGTTCAAGCTGCTTTGAAGGAAATAGCAAAAAATAAGGCACCAGGAATAGACGGTATACCAATTGATGTATTTCAGCTAACAGATGCTGCCCTGGATGTGCTCACCAAGTTGTGCCAAGAAATCGGGAGAACAACCACTTGGCCAACTGACTGGAAGAGACCTGTATTTGTTCCCATTCCAAAGAAGGGTGACCCAACTGAGTGTGGAAACTACAGAACAGTATCACTGATTTCACATGCAAGCAAGATTCTACTGAAGATTATCCAAAACGACTGGAATAGCACATCAGCAGAGAACTGCCAGAAGTCCAGGCTGGGTTTAGAAGGGGTTGTAGTACTAGGGATATTGTTGCTGATGTTAGATGGATCTTAGCTGAAAGCAGGGAATACCAGAAGAATGTATATCTGTGTTTCATTGATTATGCAAAGGCGTTTGACTGTGTGGATCATAACAAACTGTGGTGGACTATGAGAATCCCAGAACATTTAATGGTGCTAATGTGAAACCTATACTTGGACCAAGAGGCAGTCGTCAGAACAGAGCAGGGTAACACTGCATGGGTCAAAATTGGGAAGGGTGTACGACAGGGATGTGTCTGTCCTGTCTTCATACCTTTTCAACCTGTATGCAGAGCAGATTATCTGAGAGGCTGGGCTCTATGAGGAGAAGTGTGGCATCAGGATTAGTGGAAGATCTAGTAACAATCTGCATTATGCAGATGACACAACCTGGCTTGCTGAAACTGAGAAGGACCTGAAGTACTTGCTGCAGGATCAAGGACTGCAGCCTTCAGTATGGACTGAGGCTCAATGTCAAGAAGACAAAGAGTCTCACCACTAGACCAATTGGCAGCATCAGGATGGATGGAAGAGATTGAGATTGTTCACAACTTCAGTTTGCTCGGCTCCACAGTCAACACTTGGCACCAGCAGCCAGGAAATCAAAAAACGTATTGCGATGGGAAAGTCTGCTGTTAGGGACCTCTCTAAAGTACTTAAGGGCAACGGTATGTCTCTGGACACTACGGTGCATCTGATACAGGCCATGGTCTTTGTAATCACTTGTTATGCATCAGAGAGTTGGGCAACGACTAGGGAGGATAGAAGGAGAATTGATGCCTTTGAGCTGTGTTGCTAGAGAAGAGTATTGAATGTACCATGGAGTGCCAAGAAAACAAACATTTTCATCCTGGAGAGGGTTAAACCGGGCTCCTCCTTGGAGGCAAGGATTCTGGGGCTTCGTCTGACATACTTTGGACATGTTGTGAAGAGAGACAGGTCGTTGGAGAGGGACATCATGCTTGGGAGGGTGGAGGGACAGCGCAGGAAGGCAAGACTCTCTATGACGTAGATTGATTCAGTGACTGGGGTATTTGGGATGGGAGTGCTGGAGACAGTGAGACTGGAACAGGATAGAGCAGGGTTTAGGGCTGTTGTACATAGGGTTGCTATGAGTCGTAAGTGACTCAACGGCACATAACAACAACAACAACAGTTCAAAGTGCTTCTATCTTTTGACAGCCTACATTCTTTTAGATCTGGAGTTTGGCTCAACACATTTGAATCTTAACACAATCTTCTTTTGTAGTTTCAGCCTTTTTACGAAAAATTGGCTTGGTCTGCCCACCATAGCCACTCTGCTTCCTGTCATAACGCCGCTTTCTCTGAACATACATAGAGTCTTTGCCCTTCTTGTACTGTGTCACTTTGTGGGGCTGGTGCTTGCTACACTTTTTGCAAAAAATCTGGCGAGTTTTGGAAACTTTGACCATGTTCGCGGGAGTCCTATCCACTTGAAAAGCGACAATTGATATCTTGCACTACAAACAACTGGGCAGTGTAAATTACATGACTGATGGTCCCATCTACTTATCTACTATAAACTGACCAGAAAAAGAAGTACAAAGACAACTGAAGAGTAATTATTACAAGTGTTAACTTACTTGCATCCAAGAAACAAAGGGCATCATATGATTTTTACAAACCAGGCAAACTCCTTCTATGTTAATTTTCTGTATGTTTCATACATGTGCTGACAATTTCTATGCCATTGTAAAACGTAGGAGGGAAAGAGAATTATGCATTCCCAAACTTGGCTTACTACAAAGTCATAAACCACAAGGACAAGAAAATAAAAATAAATCATGGACATTACAGAGAGAAAATGGAAAAAAAAAGTGTTGTTGTTATGTGCCATCGAGTTGTCTGCGACTCATAGTGACCTTGTGTACAAGAGCCCTAAACGCTGTTCTATCCTGTGCCAACCTTGCCATCTCAAACAAACTCATAGGAATCAGATTGATTAAATCTGAGGAAAGAACTGGAGAAGCTCAATATCAGCTGTGAAAACTAGACCAGGAGCTGATTGTGGAACAGACTACCAACTACTCATATGCAAGTTCAAGGTGAAGCGAGGAAAATTAAACCAAATCCACAGGAGCCAAAATATGATTTTGAGTCTATTATCACCTGAATTTCAGAACCATCTCAGAAATAGGTTTGAGGCCTTGAACACTAATGAGCGAAGACCAGATGAGTTGTGGGATAATATCAAGGGTATCATTCAAGAAGAGTGCAAACGGTCATTGCAAAGGCAGAAGAGGAAGAGAAGACCAAAATGGATGTCAGAAGAGACTCTGAAAATTGCACTAGAGCACAGAGAAGCCAAAGCAGAGGGAAGAATTCAAGATACTAAAGAGTTGAATAGAAGATTTCAAAAGGCAGCAAGGGACGACAGTAAAATATTACAATGAAATGTGCAAGGAGTTGGAATCAGTCTACCATGAGTAGGTGAAACATCAGTGGCACAGCTTTCAGCATCACACAAGTTAACACTGTAGGGTAAGGTGACAGGTAAACTAAAATAATGATCTTGAGAGTATCCCAAAAGAGTTTATGAACCATCTTAAGAACAGATTTAGGGGAGCTCTGGTGGCCTACTGGCAAGGAGCTGCAACTACAATCCCAGAGGCTCACGGTTCGAATCCACCAGATGCTCTGCCGGGAAAGGAGGGACAATCTCCTCCTGTACCAGTCAGATCTGATTTGATGGTACACTCACACACACAAAAATATATATATATATATATAAAAAGAACAGATTTGATGACTAGCAGTCAAACACAAAGCAAGTTATGGAGTAACATCAAGGACATAATTAATGGAAAAACCAAAAGATTATTAGAAACAAAATAGGTATCAGGAAGGGTTCTGGAACTTGCACTACAACAAATGAAAAGAAGTCAAAACAAAGAGTAGGAATTACAATGAAATGTGCAGAGCTAACATATTCAAAATACACGATCAAATAAAAAAAATATAATTAAAGAAATCATCCAGCATAGATACAAATATGAAATATATAGTTTTTCTTAAAAGTATCATTGTGTGTATGTACATACACATAAATGCATGTATTGATTGGCTTAACACCAATAGATTCAAAATCGAAAAAAGATTAGAACTCGCCTGAAAACCCAATGGAGTGTCAGATATGGGTTCCAATTCAACAGCAAAGAACAACAAATATCCCTTTACAGAGGATCACTTTTTCAAACCGTCACACACACTCATACATTAAACACCTTTGCAACTATGAAGAAGAGGATTTTCAATGAAAAAATTTCCGAAAGTGAAAGAATTGCATAAAGAATGTCGGGGGGGGGGGGGACCAATGACAACGGTAGCAATTAAGGAAGGTAGAGAACAAATTAAAAAGAGCAAAGCAGGGCACAATTTCATTTTTTTAAATCGCATGAATATATAATCTACTAATAAATGCAATTACATATTTTTAAGTATAATAAAATTACAAAGCTGTTTTATTAGGGGGGAAAATGGAGCTCAAGATCAAATTCAATCTTCATTTACACAGACTGGATACCTAAGATCTTAACAGAAGAGTTAAATAATAAGCAAACTATAGTATCAAAAGAAAAACTAAAACTCAAAATTACTTTAAAATTCAAAACAACTTATAAGCATTACTTTTGTAATCTTGAGATTTAAAGCTATCAAAACATGGTGGAAATATGAAGATTTAAGCAGAAACCTATCATTTCATTGAAAAATTAATAGCTGATGTAAATTTCAGGTAAGAAATCTAACATTTTTCTAGAGTCAATGGGTAGAATAATTTAAATTTTTTTAATGACACTTAGAAAATATAAAATGTGTTAACTATTAATGAAATGCAGGAATAATGAAATGGGTTATTACTAAAGACAATATAAAATGGGTTTAGAGTAAAGGCAATTTCAAGTTTATAACTTAATATTGTATTTTATCGTGTATAATTAATTATCAGTATTACCTTTCATTTTTGAATGTGTGTTAATCAATGGATCAGAACAAATCCTGCAAGGCCACCATGGACGTCTCTTGAACTTTGCCCAGATGAGATCTCCAACTTCATACTTCAATGGTGCAGACTTTTTCTTGGGTTGACACTTTAGACAAACAAAACAGAGAACAGCAATGAGACTCAAATCACTTGAAAACATATTTCATCTTTGTATTAGCCTTCTGTTAAAGCAACGCTTTAAAAAATATCTGGGTAGAAAACACTAGCATCCTAACAACTGCAAAACAAAATAGTCTAAATTACCTTTTTAGTATACAGCAACAGTGCCTAATTTATAATCACATTACATAAGCAGTTTTATTTAAAATTGGGAGGGAAAATGACATTGATTTATGAAGAACTAGATGGGCAATCTCTTGTTCAATTTAAAGCCTTTGAAAACATACTAGAGAACAAGCTGAGTCCCAACTTGACAGCATGAGGTTTTTGGGGGTCCCCCCCATAATTAAATACTGAATAAAATGAATCACTGCATGAAAAAAAGACATTATCAATGTTCTACACTCCTGGAATCTTATTATCAGAATAATGGGGGAAGGTGGGGAGTCAGGGGAAGCTGTCGAGGGAGAAGGAAGTCAAGAATGAGAACACTATCATTTTTAACTGTGTCTGTAATTATGGTCTCTTTGGTAGTGATATCCTACGTCTCAAAAAAAAAAATTCCAAAACGAAACAGAAAACCAAACACAACATTACTAGTTAATGGACCACAGTGGTTCTGATTTTTAATTACTCAGAAAGTCAGAAGCTTTAGACAATTTTTCCCAAGTTGTATAAGGAAGAAAAATGCACTACACAACTCCATGGGACATCATTTTCATAGACTGCAATATGAATGAATCTCCTTGGAATTGTAAATAGAGATTTTAGCTTCATCATTTTCCAAATATGCTATTACCAACTGATCTGGTATAGAAATACTTTGATTTCATGTCTAAACCCATACATATGCCTTTAGGACCCAAACTCAACAGCAGAATCCCCTGCCTTAACTCGGCATGAGCTGCACCTCTGGTACGCCACCAAGAGTTCCAAATGTGCTTAAACAGTGATTCCCTAAAAACCCAAAAGAACAGCATTTTGATGAGACAAACAAACTCTGGCCAATTCCTCTCCAAACAATACACAAAAATTCAAGTAAACCACATAAACATAACTCTAGAACTCTTCAGCACCAAATAAGATAAAAAAATTGGTTTGAATATCAACTGGAAAAGGAGACAATGGATTAGAAAATCAAACTGGTTCCCCATAGAGTCTAGCCATTTTAAGATCCAAAAGAGAGCATGTATGGACAAGAAGCTAACATCACAGGATATCCACTGAGACAGAATAATATAAAACATGTATCTGTCCATTTCTCTATCTCCAGGGTCACTAAATTGAATGAAAAAGAAAAGTGCAGCAAAGTTGAAGGAGGAGGAGGGCGCAAGTTTAGAAGAATGAGACAATTTGCTGGTAGCGAGCCCTAGTCTTGTGGGTTGGTGGCCCATGCTATAGGGAGGGTTTACAGTGTACAAATTAGAAACATTTAGAGTCTCTCCCAACTACTCACACTTTGACTGAATCTGGACAAGAACTGGATAACTAATGTCATCAATCAGTAAATCTCTCCCTTTACTTTCCCAATACCTCCTCCTCATAACTAAAGAGAACAGTCCCAGTTAGAACAGTCCCACACCATTAACTTAGTGGATAGGGAAGAGCCCATGCAGAGGCAGAAGAAAAGCTATTTCCACAAAGAAGGAATTGAAGACATGCTCTTGATCGTTTACTAGCATCTTAATACACTGCCATAATGTTGGAACTGACTCACAGTTGACCTACAGCAGGTTTTTAAGGTTATAAATCACAAGGCAAGAGACTACTGTCCATCTTTCTCCCTTGGATAAGTTGCTTGATTCAAACCATCAGAGAGGCATGGCCTTTAGACTAGCAGTCCAACTCACCACAGACTACACCACTTATTCTGTTGTTGTTAGGTATAATCAAGTCACCTATGACTCATAGAGACCCTATGTACAACAGATCTAATGCCTGTACTATCCTGTGCCATCCCTGTTTCAGTCCATTTCAATGAGGAACTTCTTCTGTTGCTCTGTCTTTATTGTCTTTTATTATGTCTTGAAAAAGGTATGGTGAGCAGCGTCTGACATTTAGCCTCCTTAATTTTTTTTTTAAAAAAACCCTATCTGAAACAGCTGCTGTTGTATACCAATGAGTTGGAACCAACCCATAATGGACCCTCTAGCTGGTTTTCAGAGGCAGTTAATCACATAGGAGGAGAACATGCCCAGCTTCCTCCGACGAGGAGTTGGTAGATGTGAAACCACATGCCTTCAGTATTGCAGTGCAGATTCCTACCACCAGACCACCAGAGAGCTTCCTACCTGAAACAGTTACATGTTCTTTAATAAACAGTTTGTGGAATTAATTAATTGCAACTACACAGATAAATGAAAAATGCTGCATCTCAAGAATATTACAGGAAGAATGGGTTCAACTGGAAGATTAGTAACTTACCATTCAATTTTAAGACTCTGCTTTAATAAATTAAATACCACAAATGTCCTACCAAAAACAGTGTGATTAGTTCATTTCTATAGAGCTGGCTAAGCATAAGAAACACACTTTTTAAAATGAAAATTTAAAAAAAAAAAGTCTTTTTTGCCTGTTGTAAATTTTTATGATTTCAAAGCTAGTCATTTTTTAGCCAATCTTTTATTGGCCTGTATTTAAAACAAACAAACAAAAAAACAAACCACAACTGAATAGGGTCTCATAAACTTCTTATACAGGCAGTCCCCAGGTTACAAACATCCAACTTACAAACATTCTTCCTTGCCCTTTAAATTGGTTCTGTCATGGCCAACAAAGTTAAACAGGAGTAGATGTAAAGTATTACAATATGGCAGACTCTGCATGGTGCCTGAAATAGAAAAACCGTAAGTGAAAAATCATTAGTGGGAGATTAAGAAGAGTAGTAGCCCTTTCAGTAGTCTGATATGTAAGAAAGGATTACTGACAGGACTGCAGAAGAGTAACATCTAAGTAGTGTAGCTGACCACCATTTGACCAGGGTTTCAAACCAGTTCCCCAGGTTCAGTCATGGCTGAAGGGGAAATCATAAAGCTTTTTAGTTGCTGTTAAGCAGAAAGGCAGTATAAAGGGGAAATAACAGATCTGAGCCTTGCAAAAAACCTTACTCTCTTTCTTAGAGAAGAATGGTAGAGCCTGTACTGCATAGCAACCAAATCTCTTGCCTCTGGACTTTGAGCACGGTCTGGAGCAATACTGCCCTGGTAAACACAACTGCCAATCTTAAATGGCTCTCCACAGTCCTACCACTAATCCAATCTCATGGTTAAGGTTCCTGAAATGCTTCCGTATGCCTCTTCCTTCCTTATCTCTAATTTTAAGACTTCCAACTATAATTTTTCTGTCCAGGTTCTATGACAAAAGTACAAAATGGTACAACTCTAGGTTTCTTCTTGTTTCACTTCTTTAGCCATGACAGAATCAATTCAAAGACAAAGTAAGTTGTTCTTTGGGCTTTCATAATCTGGGAACTAAATGTAGTAATTATCCGATATGCCAAGGTCATTTGCAGGAAAGTTAGTGATGTAGAAGTTAAAGGATTCAGATGCTAACAAAAAGATGGCTGATTTTTATCTACCAACAGCACTAAGAAAGAAAACGCTGCAGGGTGCTTCTAGAAAGACTGTCTTGGAAACACTGTGGATGACAGTTCCACTGTCTACAGGGTTGCCTTAAATGACAAACAAGTTAATTGTCGTAAATTTGAATAACCATGAATCTCTGAACAGCACAAATAAGTAATGGGCTACTAGCTAATAGTTGACAGTTAAGAGTCTATTCAGGCATAGGCAACCGACCTCTAAATCCAAAAACCACAGACATTAAAAACTCTATGTAGTACAGTTCTACTCTGAAATAGTTATCAGAATCAACTCTATGGCAACTGGTTTAGTTTTTGGTTACAAATGTAACCAGTAAGTGGTAATCACAAGTCTGATATTTAGGTAGTTTGATTCCAGAGATCAAACTAATAACCATTGTTATTGTTGTTGTTAGGTATCATGAGCTGACCAACTCTAGTAATAACAATAAAACCCATGATTATTATATGCTTCCTGACTAACTAAAAACCAGCCTATGTTAAAAAGGTATGGAGATAAGACACATCCCTGGCATACATCCTTCCCTATTTTGAACCGTGCACTGCTCCCTTATTCTGTTCTGACGACTGCCTCCCTTTATTCTGTTCTGACGACTGCCTCATGGTCAAAGTATAGGTTTCACATAAGCACCATCGAGTTTTCTGGGATTTCCATTTTTCTGAAAGCCAACCACAGTTTTTTGTGGTCCACACAGTCAAATGCCTTTCCATAGTCAATGAAACAAAGATAGACAATTCCTCTGGTATTCCCTGCTTTCAACCAACCATCCATCTAACATTAGCTACAATATCCTTAGTACCATGGCGTCTTCCAAACCAGCCTGCACGTCTCTGTTGATGTGCTGTTCCAATCGTTTTTGGATCATCTTCAGCAGAATCTTTCTTGTATGTGATATTAGGGAGGCTGGGCTCTAATGAGGAGAAATGTGGCATCAGGATTGAAGGAAGACTCATCAACAATCTGTGTTATGCATAGCACACAACCATGATTGCTGAAATTGAGGAGGACCTAAAGTGCTTGCTGCAGGTCAAGAACCGCAGCCTTCAATATGGATTGAAACTAACCCACAATTACAAAACCTAAGGAAAATCTTTTTTTAAAAAAGAAAAGAAAAATGCCCTCATTTGGTCTGAGTATTCAGCAGTTTAAAAAGTCAGTGATTTGAACCCACTAATCATTCTCTGGAATAAAAATATGGCAGTCAGTTTCCACAGAACTTTTATGGAGCAGTTCTGCTCTTGAGTCATGTTAACTTGCAACTAACTCAATATTAGTGGATTTATTATTTTTGGTATAGGAATGAGATGTTTTGAATAGACAAGAAAAAGAACTTGAGTGGTACCAAGATAAAAGCCAAGATTCATACAAACAAGGAAAGCAGTAA